CTACCCAGTGATGGCCCATGGGATGTACCATTCCCCACCTGGCAGTAGATGGACCTGAATAGAGGACCACAAGAGGCGGCACATCGGACAGTCGGATCCTCACTCATCGTCGATGGCTCCTCCGGCATCCCAGATGGCTCCTCCTCCGACGTCTAGATCTATGGTATGTATGAGACGGCCCTCGGCGGCTATGACCTACAGCAATTCACCATACTGTGCTTTGCAACGACTCTAGTGAAATCTTGGGGGAGGGGAGGATTTCCTGATGCCTTCGGAGCGTACCTCTCCTGAAGCAGTTGATAATATGCACGAGCTTGTCGTACAAATAACGTGCAAAGCTTGTACGGGACCCCTCGGCATGGGATGGTGTCGCTGAGTCGGCACACTAAACGGAAGATCTATGGCGCTTAGTCTTCACCCCCTGCTACCTGATGATCGTGAGATGGAGACAAGAGAGGACTAGAGGGCCTGTAACCATAAAGGGCTTGTCTTATATCAGGATGACCCGCTGAGTCGCCAACGAAGGCTAGTGAACCTACTATGTGATAACAACACAAGTGGGGGGGACTTCGTACTACTAGTAGTTTCCTCATCAAGTTGTAGGAATTTTGACACGACTAGCTTCCACACCGCCTGGTCCGAGGAGAAGGAGAGGAGATACCTGAACACACAAACAATACGACAAACACAGTGCGGGAGTAGTCCACACCAAACGAACAGTTCAAGCTCTCTGCAATGCTCCTCCACCATACTCTTATCATTGTAGAAAGTCGATGCCTCCAGAGAGGGCGGTAGTGGGTACCTGTACCCAACACAGTTGTCCCCGTGACAATCGGCGACGACCTACGGTGGGGGCCTGCCAGTGGAGCCCTCAAATTTAGTGGCTAGGGCCGCGAACTCATTGTAGTGCCGGCATACATCGTATCTGTTATTCAGTGAGACATACTATAGCCAAGAATGATATTGACTATACTCTAAGTTCGTCCTTCCTGTGTTGGTAGTAGTGATGACATGAATACAATAGCACGACGACACA